GGGTGCAAAGCCAGGAGGGGCTGGGGGGCAAGCCATGGGGTTGCACAGTGGGGGCTCCGCAGCTTCGGTTTTGCAGTTTAGAGAGGCAGAGGAGGCAGACGTGGAGGTGCACACCGGAGATCTTACAGACTCCAGAGACTGAAGCAAGAGGATCACAAGTTCAAGGCCAGCCCCCGGCTGTTTAGCAAGACCCTATCTGAAATTTTAAAAAAGACTGGGGATGCCGCTCAGTAGTTAAGCACCTCTGGTTTAATCCCCAGTGCCAATACCTAAATAAATAGGCAGAAGAGACATGTACCCCTAAGAGGAACTGAAGTTTGGACCCCAGAGATCAATCACCCAGGGACGCAGAGGACACTCCCAGGTGCACGGGGCGGGCAGCTGCGGGGCCAATGTCAGAAGAGGGCTGGGGGTGGCAGCGGGGTAGGAGCCAGGCTCCCAGGGAGTGTCTGAGCTGGGGAAGTTTGCAGAGGGGGGAGGGCAGGTGGAGGAGGTGGGCTGGGGACACAGCAGGCACCTGGGATGAACCTGAACCACACAGAGTTTTTCCTGAGTCTCCTGAGGGGAGAGGGCAGCAGGGAGGGGGTGAAGCTGTGCCCCCCGAGTGCAGGAGGGGGGCCACCGCGGGCTGAGGGTGCGCCCCACTCCCAGGTCAGGAGGTTTGGAGGGAGGGTGCTTAAGAGTGACGGGCCTTGGCCCTAAGGGACAAGTCCAGGCCAAACTAATAGCCCTCGGACTCCCACCAGCCAGCTAAGGGCAAAAGGGAGGAAAGTGGGTGGGCACAGCGGTGGGGCGGGGCCGCGAGGGCGGGGCTTAACTTGCCCCGCCCCGCCCCAGCCTGATAAAAGCCCGCGGGTTGGGGACCTCCTACCCTACCTGGTCTGGGACTGTCCTAGCCCAGGTTGGTCCCAGGAGGGAGACACAAGAGCTGGGTGGGGGTGGAAAACCACGGTGGGGAGGGAAGTGGGGCCCCAATGTCGCCACCCGCCTCTGCTTCCAGGTGCCCCTCGCCGCCATGAGGCCCCTCCTGGCACTGCCGGTTCTGGTGGTGGTCCTGTCCGTGGTTCTGGAAGGTAAAAGTGGGCTAGGGGAATTGGGGGATTGGAGGTTGGGGACTAGGACGCTGGCCACAGCCTCGAGGTCCAGCGTAGGGAGTCCTTGAAAGCTCTGGGGCCCTTCTGTGCCCTGGTTCCCCTGCAGTCCTCTGGTCACCCACCCCTAGCATGCTAGGAGGGTCTCCAGGTTCTCTAAAGGTCTGTCCAGTGTGGCAAGGCTGCCCAGGGAGCCCCAGCGACGGGTGACTTATGGGCCCCTCTGGGACTGGCTGTCCCGCATCTTCCTCCTTGCAAGGGACAGGAAGGTGAGGGCCACTCCAGTGCCCCGCCCCCATTCTAACTCCAGGATCCCCAAGGGTGACTTTCAGGGACCTCCAGATCCATCCCTGGAACCCATCCTAGGGATTCTGCCTAATCACTGACATGTTTTCACCTCTCCCTCGCTTGTGGGGGCAGGCCCAGCCCCAGCCCAGGCCGCCCCAGACATCTCCAGCACCTTTGAGCAAATCCCGGGTAAGCTGAAGGAGTTTGGAAACACCCTGGAGGACAAGACCCGAGAAGCCATCCAGCACATCAAAAACAGTGACTTTGCGACGAAGACTCGGTTAGGGCCCTTCCCAGGGGGCCGTGAAGGGACCTGTGGGTGAAGCCCTGAAGGGAAGTCCAAGATTAGCAGATTGGGGACACCGAGGCCCTAAGAGGCTTACAGTATCCCTGTGGTCACCCGGCTAGATCTCAGGGTGCTAAGATTCACGGGACAGGTGCCCCGACTCCCATCCTGGAACATTTTAGAGATGGGCCTGGGGGGGTCACAAAGAACCCCAAGCAGGACAGTCCACAGGCTGGTGTAGACACCCTTCTTCCTGAGGGATCCCAGGAGAGGGGCGTGACAGCTGCCGGAGACCCCTCATCTCTAAAAGGGGTAGTTGTGAGGGGAGCAAGGGAGAGGGCCCTGATCAAGGCCCATGCACTAATTAACCGACTTTTGTGCCCTTGGGCAAGTGGAGAATCCTCCATTTGTTAAGAGGTGTTTATTGAGCAGCTTCCAAATGCAAGGAAGCCATCAACCTGGGGAAGTACACAGAGGTGACAAGTGGGGGAGACACATGATAAACCGGTGAATCCCAACGAGTCCGCATGAGGTTAAGCACTGTGAAGACCCTAGAGAAGATGGGGGTGACAACCAAGGAAGGAGAGCAGCTCTTTGAGATTGGTGGCTAGGTCTTCTCTGAGGGGGTGACATATTCAATTGAGATCTGAATGAAGAGAGGAAAACTCAGCTGAACCAAAATTTAGGAAAAATGTTCTCTGTGAAGGGAAAGTACAAAGGCCCTGGGGCAGGAAGACCTGTCAATAAGGAGAGGACTTCCAAGCAAGGGGGACAGTTCAGGAAAGGCCAGAGGCTGGATGGAGGGACAGCTAGGGCAGGAGCAGACTTGGTGACAGTGTTGGGAGCAAGAGACGACAGGCCTGGAGCCAGGCCAGGTAAAGTGCTGTGACTTCCAAGGGCTCTGGTCTACCTGGGGAAAC